AATTGCTACTCTGTCAGGCTATGGAAAGAATTTTTGAGAAATGGCATGCATTTGTCTGTGTGTATACACTTAGTTATAAACTGAGCTTGAGGCTCAGTGATGTTTTTATACCAAGTACAGTGACAGGAATCACTTTCTAGCCAAGGTCCACTCCTGAAAGCTGGAAAAGTTTAGGGAAAATAAGAGGAGTATACTCCCTGAACTACAGCAAGATTTGAAAATAGCTATTATAGCTATAATAGCTATAGATGGATTGAACCAGGCAGGGGTTCATTAGGAAGGGCTGGATTCAAGTGATTACAAATGAAATATTTTTTTGGCCTGACAGCCTTACACTCCTCAGACTTGCCCAGAGTACTTTAGTGCTGAGCAGTTGCTTGTCCTAAAGCAGCAGTTTGTTTTCTTAGCAGAATTTGTGCCTGACCTCAGATCAACTCTGCTGGCGGTAGACTGGCAGAAGAGCCAGAAAGCAGTTTTGGCTTTTGATGCTTTTCCAAGTTGCTTTTGTATCGCCTTTTTCAGCATTATGTTTGTGCAAACAGAGAATTAAAGAAACTCTATCTGGCATGGCATGGCCCTGCATCGCTGCTGGTAAGCTCTGAGGGGTGGTGGTGGAAGTAATCACATCAGAGCTGGTTTTGGTCTGAATTTGTGACGGAAATTCTATTGTGTTGTGAGTACAATGCTGATACAATCCCTGTGGATGGTAAATGTGTTGTCACTGATCTTTAATCTCTGACAGGGATCAGCAAAAAGTGGTAACATTTATTTCAATAGCTTGAGTTTAGTTAGTGTGATAAGGGAAAGAATGAGCAATTTTGTAATTTGGGATGGAAACTTGGTAAGCAAGTACATACCTCAGGGTATTAAGGGCGTGTGTTAAGGCCCATCAAACCCTAGCAATTATCTGAAATTAAAACATACTGAAGACACCAGAGAACTTCCTGACCCAGGGAGGATCTTCCATGGGGCTCAGCTCACTGCTCACAGTGACTCTGTACCCAGCTCTGACTTTGTGCTTTGAGAACAGTGGCTGTTTTGACAGTGCTCATTATCACCAGCACGATACTGTAAGAAGTCTGTTTAACACCATTGTGTGCAGTTTCAGGTTGATAACTCCTTATACCTGCCTGTCTGAGTTTCACAAGATCCCTAGACTGCTGGTTTGACATCCGTAGGAAGATAAGTTTGTGTAGGAAACAAGAGTACCTCTATTGATAACTTGTATTTCACATTTCTCAGAGCATTCAGTCTGTTTTAGGTGTAAAGTCCAGTTTCATCTGATAGAGCCTTGTGCTAGTTAGTTCTTACTGATAAAGCATATTTTCTTAAATAAAAAAAAATAAAATTCAAACTTGCCATGTGTTTCCAGCATTTAGCAGTCAGCAATGTGGCCACGTATGCTATCCAAAAACTTTTAACTGAGGATTTTCAGTTTTGTTTTGTATGGTTACTTTCACCCTTGGCTTTAAGATGTAAATACCTTCTGTAACATGCATCACTGTCTACCAACTTATGCTGCCTTTTAAATTCTGCTGCATTTCACAGTTAAAGGCTAATCTCCTAAAGGCTTGCAGTTAGCTTTCTTGGATCTCTGTATGTTTAAAATTGATACATAAGCAAAGATGAGGTGGTTATAATTTTCAAAGACACAAGACTGTGGCTGGAGATAGCTGCTGCCAGAATTGACGGACAGACTAAATGACTGCAAGCAAAGAGTCTTGAACAATTTTGCACTATTAGACAAACGCTGGAGAAAGCTTCTTCCAAAACAGAGTAAATACAACTATGCTCAACATGAAAGCCCATATTCTTTGGGGGTCAGTGGGGGAAAGATAGTTAAACCTTTAAACTTAGTTCATCTATGTTACATTTCCAGAGTTCAAGAGGTTGATATTGGTATTTGCTGTAGTGATATTTATTCAGCACGATTGGGAGTTGGCTCTGAGTTGAGATGTGGCTGTCATACAGGAAACTGAGCTATAATCAGTAACAGACCAGTAATCAGAAGGTCAGAACCAGATATGTTTTATTTAGTTAAAACAACTTGCATGCTTCTGTACTGTCACACAGACTTTCCTATAGAAAATTGCTCTAGGAATAGTGTAATAAGAAAAAAAAAAATCTTATGATATCGTCACCAGAGAAAGTCAATGTGATTCCGCAATTAGGATTTCTTTACAGCCTACAGGCGTTTCTCCTCTAAGACTTCTTTGCATCTAGGTTTTCTTGGATACTGAAAAAAACCTTGTTAATCTCCTCAAATGTTGCTAAATATGTATGTTTCATTTTCTTTCCTATGCTCTGCCTTCCCCATGGAAAATTTTCTTGAAACAGTCAGCATTCACTGTCAGTAGCTTAATAATCACACTTATCTCAAGAGCCAGCGCTGCCCAGCTGGTAGATCTGTATTTGCTGTCTTTAAACTCTTGTTTGTAATGTGCATTTAACTTCAAATGCATACTTTTTTTTTTTTTTCCAAAGCCTGTCTATACTTTAAGTGAACACAGGAGTCAGAGTTTGGAGCCAGTTCTCACTGTGTGCCTGTGCTACCAGGGAAAAGTATTCCTGCAGAAGGCTTGGACATTGCCTATGATTATTGTCAAGGTCTACATATGTCAGACTAACCCACCAGACTAAACAGCTACATAAGAGGCACTTGTCCTACAGTCCCTGATAGTAATTTCCTTATGTCCTTTTGCAGGCAAGTCTATACTATCATTTCCTTATATTTATAATTTAAACAAAATCTTCTCATTTTTTTTTTAAATCTTGTAAGCTACTGGAAGAAAATTCACTTGCTATCCAGAGCTTTCCTACTAATATATTATAGCAGGAAGACTTCAAAAATACTTAGATGGTATTCTAGATTAGTAGGTTTTTAGTAGTTATGGTAAATCTCCAGTGGTTTGGTTCTTTAAATTCTTCCTTCATGCTTTTTTTTGGCTGATTGATGTATGGAGCTGGTTTCTAGCTCTCACAGTGGAATATGAATGTGGAAGTCAGTTGCAAAGACAGCAAAAAGTAGATGATGTCTGAGACAGTACAGCTCTAGAAAATTCCCAGGGCTGACGACAAGACTTTGAGTTTGTGTGGGTGAACTGGTAATGAAAGTGGAAGATTTGGGAGTGAGGAAAGCCACCTGTGCTCCTCTTCCTGTAAGTTTGATAGTGCAGATTTTCCACTCGGTGTACAGATGCTCTTGCATGCAATTTGGACTGAAACTCTGAGCTCAGCTGTCCTAGAACTTGTTCTGTACGAGTACAAGTCTTCAGCATAAGGACACCAGATGAGTTTAGGTACATCAGCAGGGTCTGAGGATAAGTCAAACTATTCATGCTGTCACTTATTTCCTGTTGTTCATCTATCTATTAGTCTCCTTAAGAGCTTCAGTTAATTATGGCATGATTTATGCTATGTTTTGTGCAGACCAAGTAACTGTCTTTAGCACTCTTACGGTGTTACAGGAAGAACCAGGCGTTTCTCTGCAAATACAGTCCATTAAATGGCACAGCCTCATTACGCACCTTATTTGTAGCTCTGTTGTGCCTCCTGCAAACACTGCTTTAAATTCTGCTACCGTGTGCTCATGGTTCCTTTCTGTTTGCATACAAGCACATGAGAGAGATCCCATTTAAATTAGTTCAATTTAGATCTAACCTAACTTAAACCATTTCTGTTGTATCTCATGTAAATGCTTGTATTTAATGATGAAATTAGCTGAGTATGGTTTACTATTAAATGTTATGCTGAAAGCTATGTGCATTCATGGAATAGGAAGTCTCAATTACAAACGTTTCAAGGAGGATACAGTGTTTGAAAATAAGTACATAAAAAGTATCAGACTGACTATGAGTTGTCACATGAAGATCTGACTTCCAAGAAGAAACTAGGGTCTTGTAAATACAGTGTGTGTAGGTGGATGATTTGTACTGCTCTGTATCTTAAGATACTGTGCGTGTTTGTTCTTTCAAATGTTCTTCTGCTTACACCAGGAGCTAAGATATTTCATTTGTCTGGATGTTAAAACTAAAACTCTTCCACCTTGGAACAAGTGAGTTTTGGTAGATAATAACAAGCTTCTTGTCCATCTTGGTATAGAAAATACTTCTCATCTACTTTGCAAGTTTGTTCTCTCCTACACAGACATTAATTGCTTTTAAGGATTTGTCTTCCCTTTAAAATCCATAAATGAAGTATTTTTTTTCTTTCCCACAGTCTTGAGCAGGTACTACACCACTGTCAAACTGAGTAGCAACAACGTGTGACCCCAGGATACTCTTTGTGTTTACGTGGAGTTACATCAAGTGATGGCTTGAATGTGTGTTGAGAGGAGTGCCCTTCTCAGAGTAGAAAGCCAATAGTGGTGTCTTCCTGCTTTCTTTTCTGCTTCCTATGTGGTTCACTGAAATTTCTTACCAGTAGGAGAACTAGAAACCTAAAACTTAACTCTCTGTACTTCGGTATTCCATGTAGTAGTTGAGAGTCTTCTAGCAAAAGAGGAAGAGAGAGAGAGTGTGTGTGTATATAGAAAGAGGATGCAAAACTTAATAGTAATTGGATAGGTATGGGAGAAAGCTGGGGCTGAAAGTTGGCATCTACTAGGTTTTTGAAGCTACACTATTAGCTTTATGACTTGTATTCAATTTCACAATAGCCATGTGAAATTTTAGTTAAGTTACAAATTCTAATAGATATTAGAAGAATCAAGCCTCCATTAAACTGAATTACTGTAGCCCAAAACAAATATGTTGGTTTTTGGTGGTTTTTTATAAATATCTGAGGTAGGGCTTTAAATTGGAAACTTCATAACCTGGTCATAACTACTTAGTAACAAGGAAAAGTTGAACAGCATGTGTATCTTATTTTTACTGTGGGAATCCTGGTGTATTTTCTACCCTTTAAGGTGGGAAAAGTGGAAAGAATGAAAATCACTGCATTAATTGTCCTGTCTCTGAGTTAACTTTAAAAAACCATGAGCTTTGTTCTTTTTTTTGCAGCCACTGATCTTCTTTTGGCTTGGAATCCCATTTGTCTAGGCCTGGTAGAGGGAGTCATTGGTAAAGTCCAGCTTCATACAGGTATGTGATTCTTTGGTGTGGGGTTTTTTTGCTTGTTTTTTGCTACTAATTTTGGTTTAAATTTGGTGACACTACAGATAATACTATGTAGCTCCAATGGAATTATGTAGTGTTCCTTGCAATGGAGGAGTACTCCCCCACTATGTGAACTTGTCACAGTGATTATATTATAGCTGCGGATGCAAATTCTCCTTTCTAGTGTATGTATTTTGGTTCACCGCTGCCTTGTGAAAATGGAGAACTGCATTCACAAAGAATAGAAATTTGTGGTTGAAGTTGTGTCTGAGGCTCCACGTTAGATGCATAAAATTTTTGCACCTTCTTGAATAATCCTTTCAAGCATTTTTTGGTGTTTTTTCTGTGGTACAAAACTAATAAACTAATGGTGGAAATTTTCACAAAAAAATAAGTCTTGAATTCTCAATACGGTATGGAAACATGAAGAATAGCTACTACCTTGGTAGATGACTATTTGAACGTAAAAGGAACACTTAAACTTATTTGTAGTTAAGTGTAAGACAGCTATAAAATGAAAGCAGGCATAGAATGCATCATGATTTAATGTTAAGCCTGTCTAACTGATTCTACTAACTTTTTCCTGTAAAATAAGGTAAATGCTCTTCTTAGTTTTAGTCAGCTGTAAATTCCTGTAGCCATAATAAATATTTATTTTGTTATATACCACTTTGTCTAGAAAGACTCTTCTGCCAATAGAGCTCTGGGTATCTATTTACTGACAGGTAGGAATGTTAGCCATACACTCTGTGTCACTTGCTCTGTGCTCTTCTTTTTGTGAATGCTTAGATCCTGCATTTAAAGTAGTGCCTGGCAATATGATCAATACAGGTAAAGTTTCAAGTGTGTTCCAGGATAGCAGGATGGATTAAGTGCTGAAATGGATCAGATGTTTGTGTTCTGCTGAATGAAACAGGTTAGTCAGGGTGGCAGTGGCATAGTAGCAATAGGGGAGGGAGGAGAGCAGGGACAGGTACACCACTGTGTGAGCATGTGACAGATCTGGCTCCAGAAAAAGCTTTGCTCAATAGTTACTGTAACCCCTAGGTCTCGTTTGTGAGAGTAACAGTTCAGAGCCTGTCTCTAAGTTTATGATTGTGTTCTTTTTCCAATTGCATCACTTCACCTTTGAATTTTACCTGATATTTTTCTTTGCTCATACTACAGCTCTATTCAGCCATCCTTTTTCAGATCTGATGGTATGAAGTGGCTCAGACTCTTGTCATCTTACTTTCCTCACTGAGGTTGTCTGTGCTGTTCAGCATGTGCTGTTCATGATTAGTGATGGCTAAACTCCAGTAATGACCACTTTCTGCTGTGGGAAAATGCGCAGTGATTGTTTTTAGCTTTTTTTGGTCCCCCTCTCTCTAGCAAGTCTGGTATAAAAGCCTTTGAAGAGGGAGACCATGTCAAATCCTTTCTGGAAGGTCTCATATGTTGTGGCAACCAAATATCCTTGCATGTGTGCTTATTGTGAGGCACTTCCTCTGTTTGTGAAAGCCGAGTTGAAACTTTCCCCAGCATGTGACACTTCAACAGCTTGCTGTTGTCAAGTAAATGAAGATGATCAGATTATAAGCCTGATATTTGGTGGTCTCTCTATGTGTCCTGTAGAGCTACTGAATCAGTTGTGCTTCTCCAAACACTCCATTCAGTTGCCGCTTAGGCCATTTAGTTTCCTCTCTGCCTTGTTCAGATGACACCATCACAAACTGTTCAGAGTATCCTCCTTGTTGTTGATAGTCTGCTACTTGGTGATGCAACTGTCCTGTAAACAGATTAATTTTCTACCTTTAAATGTCTGAAGATAGATACAATCTCCAGCAATTTATTCTTACCCTTCTGCTGAGCACTGCAGCTCCCTTGACTCTGCTGACAGTTGCTAATGAGCGTCCTCCATCAGACTGCAGTCAAAATGGGAGAGATGGCTGAAATATCTTATATAGGTCTCTTGAAACCCATTATTGTCAATGAATTCTCACTTGATCATATTCAAGTGTAGTTTTATGTAATCCTCTAGCTGAATCATCCAGCACTCTGTAACAGTAACCTGTCTTCATTACTTATTCTTCTATCAATCTTTGTCACCTGGAAACTTTATCAGCAGGAGTTGTATAAATATTTAATGTTGGTGGACCATTATCTCCAGACTTGGAGTACTATGCTGTGGAAGCTGGGTGAAATGCTTTTCTCTCGGAGCTGACCTGAACAGGAGGACTTACTGCTCTGATTTCTTCTCCCGTGCCCCCTTACTGTAAGGATTAGAAAGCTTAATTTGAAGCTCTTTTGGCTAACTGAGAGTCCTGTATGGGCTTGTCCTGCCTAGAACCTTGCTATTAGCTATTGTTGGAAGAAATAATGGTGTTTCTTACAAATGCTTGGCACGTAGTGACTAATACTGGAAGCATTAAATACCTTTTAAAGTATTGAAGTTGCTACCAGTGCACTCTAAAGCTGTCACTAAGCCTATATGCACTTTAATGTCTTGGGTGTACATCCTTATGTTCTTGAAAAGTTTGCTTAATTCAAGGATGCTGGAGTAGTCCTAAAATGACCTTGAAATATCCCTGTGGTCAGTTTTGGGCTGTCCTTAAAATAGCATTGAAGTATCTGTGCCAAATTGCTGTAACTAGGGATGGGATTTAATTTACTTTTAATCTTGCTGGGTTTATTGCTGGCCAAGTACAGGAGAATTTGTAGGAAAGCCTTGGTGGCAGGGAAGCAGTCTCATAGGAATCAGCTAACCAATACTACGTGCTTTGTTCTTAATTCTTTAAAGGATTTTTGCCATGAGAGTTTGTACATCTGACCATATCTGTACACTCACACTGGAGATGAAAGTCTACTTAAAGTATCATTTGGTTCTTCCCCAACACTAATTTTCTTAACCGTCAAGATGCTTTCTAGGAAATCGGGGGGAAACCCAACCCAAACAACAAAGCCTTAATTGAATATCAGAATGCAAGAATTGTGGTCTTTTGCCTTTTTCTGGCCCATCCTAAGATGACATATAAGAAAGTGAGGAGTAAAAATGGGAATAGAAAGAAAAGGATTTTAGGATGTGTTGTCGAGATAAGGTACTGAAACGGAACACTGCACATTTTCCTCGTACAGATGCACAATTAAAATTCTCTGTATGCTCTTCCTCTATAGAGGCAAGCACATCTCTTGCATAAACACTGTCTCCTTTATCGAATATTAAATTTGTTTTGTGGTCTGGTTACTGTGGATACACACAAAGACAGGTGTAGTCAGTCAGTTTCCCATTGTCAGAATCCCAGTACAGACCCAGAAAGGGGTTGTGTTATTTTTTGTTAGAATAAAAAGTAAATATTTTAATCCACTAAAATGGTAATGGTAATCTGAAACTGAATCACATTTTAGTGTAGATTAGTCTACATTTTAGCTACTTCACGAGTTGATCAAACACCGCAGTTCTAGATCATGCTCAGAGTTAATGCTGCATATTTAACTATAACCAAAGCTGGATTTCTTAACCAGTTTTCAGCAACTTCCACTTAACTCATTCATTGCCACCACACGTTTTTCTGTTTCATGCTCAGAGCACGCACCTATGCAGTTTAATGTCTGTACTTGTATCAGTTTGCTGTGCTCTTCCAGTGCTGGTTAATTAAGTCCAAAATTAAATGCTGTTGGCAAGGTTCCTTATACTCAGTAAACAGGAGGGAATTGAAGTTCTTCCGTCCCTATCCCCAGGGAAGGAAAGCTTTTTCTGTTGGCGTGCCTCTGAGTCTTGACAGAAACAATGAGTGGTTCAGCATCTGAAATGTGCTCAATGAGATGTAACTGCTGCTGTTTCCAGCTTCATCCAGTCAGCAACTTAAAACACTGGTTTTGCATGCAGCTAGTTTTTCAGTTATTTGAGTAGTAACAAATAACAAAATGGTTGCATGGAATTTCATGGCTAAAATCAAAATACTTGCAAAAAGCAGTATTTCTAGTAAACCTATGCACAGTTTAAGAAAAGTTACTGCAAAAGCATTTAGGGAATCTAAATGCTAATTTGTTTGGGAAGAGTTTGAGAAAATAAAACAGCTGATAGTGCTGAAGCAAAAGAGGAGCTCTAGTGAGGAATGGGAGGTAATAGCTTACTTTAGATGTACTTCTTTGAATTAGTTGTTGCCATCTGCTCTGTATGGCATAGAACATAAAACACTAAAAATGAACATTGGATCTTGACAGAGGATTTAAAACGTGGACTGTTCTGAAATGACATAGTTGTAGTGTTCCTCTCCTGTACGCACCGTATCTCACACATTGAGCAAATAACTACTTTATTTTTTTTAAGCTATGCTATGGAACTACCTTTTTAACTGCAGCAACACTATTTAGGGATTCAGTTATTTAGATACTGCTGACAATTGTAATGTGCTGCTTCTAAGGCTGTAGTTGAAGCTTTTACTTGAGGGCATACTTTATCTGCATAATTACTTCCTGGCTGTTTGCTTTTGATATGCTGGGGAATTCCTGTTTTCCTTCAATGTTTTGTGGGTCTGGCTATAATACGAAGAGTTTTGAAATGTACACCAAGATGACTCTGAGTGCATTTTAAAAAATTATAAAAGGATGCAGAGCTCACTTGGCTGTATTAAGCTCTTAAGTTCTTGTTTATTACCAGGGTTTGTAAATATGAGGTAAAATGAGGAGTAGCCAAATTTTGTGTGTGTGTGTGTGTGTGTGTGTGTGTGTGTATTTCTTTTCCAGTTTTCACTGTCCTTAGAAATGCCTTTACATTATACTTCTTTCCAATGGAATCATACTGATTATTTCACTGGAGCTCTAGATGGTATCCTTCTTTAGAAAAGTATCTGTTTTGTTTGCTGACATATGCCGGTGATATCCTCGTAGGAGTAAATTGTGTGGCTGACCTTCTGGAGGTGGCAGCAGATGAGATTATGGGACTGCCCAACAGAAATACCTGTCTGGATGCCCCATTGTACTGCCCTTCTGTTAAGCTTGGTTTGCCCTGAGTTTCTAGAGACACTGATAATTTTGCATACTGGAAAGCAATATAGAAAGTGATAGACCTGTTTAGATGAAGGTGTAGACATCTTCATCTGTTGCTGATGTTTCTGGCAACATTTCAGGTTCCCCTTTTAAAAAGGATTTTCTTACCTATCCATTGCTATTTTCACTATTGCATAGAATCTGTTCTGTCCTCCTCAGCTTCCCTTTTCTTATTTGGTGGCTGCACCTGTACAGAAAAGCTGTTCCAGCACCTGCTGCCAGTGAGGATAATGGTCTTGCCCCTACTTGTTATCCTTTGACCAGTTTTTGGGAGGCAGCGCTTATGTCACAGCTTTGAGTAACCTGGTCCAACCTGAGACCTGGCCCTGCTTGAGCAGGGCGACATCCTGAGATCTGGCCTGAGTTGTCTCTGTAATCCCATTGAGATTATGATCCCGATGCTGTGTTCAGGAAGTAGCGCAGGACTCCCTTGAGAAGATCACATACACTAAATAAATGGTGCATGTTTTCATTCCCTTCCTCTCTTCCCTTTCTGGGAGGCAACCTCTGGTTCTCACAGCACATTTATAATTATGAGGTTCTGTAATGTTTAAAGGCTTCTTAGTACCCAATGTAAGAACATCTTTTTTTCCTGAAGACCGTAATATAGAATCAAAGTAGGGAGTGGAGTGTCATAGCACACAGTAGTCTATTTACAATTATTATTCCTCTTCTTTAAATAGAAAGAACAGTTCCTTATACATAACTTGTCAGATTTGAGTTGAAGTGTTCAAGGTTTTTTTTTAATTGCAGGTATTGGGGAAGATGCTCAAAACTTTGATAGAGCTTTAATTCTATGCTGAGAGTATATTGGAAAATCTGGGAAAGAGAGAACAATTGTGTGTCCTATGACTTTAAACACATCCTGGGTTTTTCTTAAGTGCTTAGGGGATAAAATTCTGTTTAGAATTTACTGAGTGAGGAAAACACTTTGTATTTGCTATAAAGCCTCTAAACAGATTTTTCAAATGCTGTATATTGTATTCAAATACATAATATATAACACAATCCACTGTCACAAGTATGGAAGCATATTTAAGTCTACCATAGCAGGCTTTTAATGTCTGTATATGAACTGTTCAGTTAAGCTCAGTTGGGAGAAATAGTGAGTGTATATGTGTGTGTCTAAGGCTTCCTGTGTCTTTTCCATCTCTCTTAACAAAACTTTTACTTCTGACTCATAAAAGCCCAGCAGGCTCCTAGTGTGCTACTGCTCTAACCAAGGGATTAAATCTGGGAAGCTGATGTCCAGGCACTGTTCAGCAGTCAATGGGAATCTTTGTTGTTCTGTTTCCCTGGCTCTTTAAAGTGTTGAAGCTATAATTGCAAATGTAGATTGAATGTGTGTATGGAATGCACCTGTTACCAATACATTCATCTTTGGCTCATTAATTTCTACACTGCTTAGATGCATATGCTTCATGAATGATGTGAAGCTTTAAGCATTCGTGGGCTGCTTTATGATGTAGTTCACGTTTGCTCATCAGATTTCTAAACTCGTAAATCTTGTAATTGGATGTTACCTGTGTCTGTCTTGGGTGCCGTTTTGTGTACAACAGAAGGTACAAAGGGAAATCTTCGTTTGCTGTCTGTTGAGGTCCAGCTCTTTTTAAATTGTACTGCTGTTAGTGACACTGGTGGGGAAGTGCATCATCCTAGAGACTGCCTAATTGCTGTAGGTGAAGCAGTGATAACTTCACCTCCAGTGGGTAAGTCTATGAAATAGCTAAGCTCCTTATTATATTAGGGATGGAGTAAGTATTGCTTTTTAGGTTTTTTTTTTAAGTCTTATTGCAGTGCATAATTACAAAACGTAACAATAACGAATCGGCATTCACTGGAGTCTTCCTGGGAGAGGTTTTGCACTGCAGAGAAGCTTCTGGCAGGATAATCAAAGTAAATGCCTGACAGACAAAGCATCTACAAATCTTTTTTCCAGATCTACCGTGGTGGCTACTTTTAATTCGTCAGAAAGCATTGATTGGCAAACTTCCAGGAGACCATGAGGTTTGCAAAATAACCAAGATTGCAGTGATTCCACTTTCTGAAACAGAACCTCAGGATCTGGAGTTAGAGGTATGACTGACTTCAATGAATTCTGACTTTCCCCCTTCTGCTTCAATGAAACTTAAGTGTTAAATATAATAGTTAAAGACATGCTTCTTATCTCTCTTTGCTGGTGTGTGGAGGCATACTAAACATTTTGTGCTTTTTTAAAATGCCCTTTTTGACTAGAAGTTTTCCTTTTTTTAAATAGAAATCACAAGTTCTGCTAGGGAGGGAAATGATGTAAAGATTCTTGAAAATACCACAGAAGGATGAAATTTTATTAGTGTAATTTAGCAGCAGATCATTTGAGAACAGAACTGAATGCACTGGGACAAAGCTGTAGATTAGGACAGGAAACACCTTTCTTTTAGTACTTCAGCTCACTTATTCCTGAAGTTATCCCTGAATGTCTCTAAGATAGACTTAAAATGTGTGGGGTTTTTTGGGGAAGAACCTGTCATATCTTTGCCCTCTGGTACAGGAGAGAGCATTTTTTAAGGGATGCTCTTGCTTCCATCCTGTTGTAGAATCTTAATTCTATAACTTGGCTTCAAGGAGAACCCTTAATTTAAACAATACAGATCTTTTTTTTCCAAAAGAGAATGGATCAAGGAAAAACAATACATAGAAGTAATACTAATTTACAGTAATTTGGGTGGGAAGTCGAGGTGGGTCTGGATACTCACGTCATGTCAATTTGAGGCAGATATACTCACAATCACAGAAGAAAATGTCTTTTATAAAAGAGGGAAAATTATGCTATAGATAAACGTGCATGTTCCCCCTGTATTTCAGAGTGTCTCCTCTAGGTTTGTGAACTTCGCAGTCTTGCTTTTCTAGGCTTTAAATAAAATTTCCTTGGACTTTTAAAAGAGTATTTAAGTATTTGTTTTAATTCAATATCATTATTTAGCTTTGTAAAAAACACCATTTTGGGATAAACAAGCCAGAGAAGATTACGCAGTCCCCAGATGACACAAAATTTCTGCTGAAGACTCTTACTCAAATTAAATCAAATGTGTCCGCTCCAAATAAAAAGAAGGTAAAGCTTTCTACTCTTTTCTTGGGTGTTTTTTATATTTTTTCAAAATTTATTTCAGAATGCTTAGTTGAGAATTCAGAGGTTATGGTTGATGATCAAATGAAATATGAAGACTTAAAAAGAGAACTAGTGAAAAACTGCAGAACGTGCAACCACTCCACCTTGCAGTTCAGGTTAATTTTTGATTATTTAACTCTTGCTCTTCTATGATTTTTCATTTTGTAGTTACATAATTTTGGCAGAATTACTACTAGAGTGTCTTCTTACCAGGATTTGTTTCTAGTGGGATTCTAGACTTGTGTGAATTGCTCTACATAAGCATCTCTTACCATATAGAACTGGAGATTAAATTGTTGTGCAGTACCTTAGAGAACACCACAGTCTTATTAAAATGCTTTTAACACACAAATGGCTTGAATTAGAAGGTCCAAACAATGTATTTATTGAAATTATAACAGGTAGATGCAATATTTCTTAGAAACTCTTGAGATTGAAACAAAATGCTTGAATGTAAGCTCTGAGACTTTCAGAGTCTGACTGCTTTGAATGCCAAAAGTAGAAGCATGATATTTCTGAAAATGCTGCCCTTTGTGTTTATATCTGCTAGGAATTTTAAGAGCCTGCTCCTCAATGGCAAAAAGCTTGTCCTACAAGGCTAGAAATGGCATTTAGCAAATATGGCTGGAGTCTTTTTTTCAATCAAAGGGAGAGACATAAGAAAGCCATTACTTTACTTTTCTTTCAGATTAAAGAAAGCAAAGAGAAAGAGAAGCTGGAGAAGAGATTATTGGAAGAGTTGTTCAAAATGTTCATGGATTCCGACTCCTTTTACTACAGCCTGACCTATGACCTAACGAATTCTGTGCAGAGGCAGAGCGCCTGTGAGAAAACCAACTTACCACTGTGGCGAAAAGTAAGTGTTTTGTGTTGGGGGGTGTGTGTAGTTCTGTTGGGTTTTTGCGTGTTCTTTTTCCCCTTTTGGGAGGTGTGCTGTTCAATAATGTATGTGGTCCAAACTCTTTACATTCTCTGCTGGTGTAATCTTCAGCAACTGAAGATTTTGCCTTGTAACCAATGTCAGTGCAAGGAGATGGAAAAAAGTCTCAGGCAGCATGTCTTGATCTGAAATGTTTTATTCAAAAGCAGTGAACCCTAGATTAGTATGTGCACTTGTAGTGAATAACACTGATGTCTTTACCAAAGATGTTGACAAACCTTACTTAAAATACTGCAAAAACTGTCCTTTTCGTTTTAAACAGGTTGATGACAGATTCTTTTGGAACAAGCACATGATTGAAGATCTCATCAGCATTGATGTGAGTCTTGTTTCTAACAGTAATGTGCATTATGAGAAGAATTCTTTAGTTTTAGCTGAAATGTTTACTTAAGGTCTCATAGAAGTTTATTTTAAAAAGTGCTTAGCAGGCAGGTCAGGACTGGGGCTGTGCCTTCTGAAGCTGAGCAGTTGACATTACTTTCCTTAGCCCAACCAGTCTTCCAGCAGCCTTTTAGTTAACCTGTGATTGTTGCTAATGAATGAACGTCAAATGAATTTAAAATTTTATTACAATAAAGCAGTGCAGAATAACTTGATGTATGGTATGTTTGTGCTGATTTCTGAAGGTAAACTTAAGATGTATTTATCTGTGAAATGGATTATCCCTGGGCAGAGCTGAGCTTGACAAGGAGGAGCCAGAAGAGAGAAATTCTGAATTCCAAAGTTTTCTTGAGACAAAATTTTTATTTTCCAAACTGGAGAATACTGTTTTTTTTCCTTCAACAGAGTAGGTGATCAACTTAACAATAGTGTAGATCAAGTTGTTCTGAACAGCTGTTCAGGGTGGAGAAAGCATTTTCCTGGTTAATAAGCTCATAAAGAAACATAGAACAACCACCTTTTTTCTTTGATACATGATCTCACTTCATTTTAAATTAACTTGGTACATAAAGGACTGAGTTACTAACTCCTATATGCCAGTTATGGCCAAGTCTTCGGTTCGTTTAAAGATGATGGCAGACATCTTACCTTATGCCCTGCATCTCTCATTAATAATTTTACATGCTCTGGTTATGGAGTCAGAGCAGGGTAAATCTAGATGCTCTGAAAAGTTGTGTATAATGCAGGAGTTTTAACTAGTTGCATTTGTCATATTATAAGATCTAAATGTATAACCTTGAATTACTAGGGAATTTGGATCTCAGTTCTGTTTAAGAAATTGAGCTTTCTCTGTGACAAAGCACTAAAGTGCAGAGCCCTGAACCACTTGGCTTGAGTAGTAAGTTAGCTCATTTGAAGCTTATGCTGAAAACAGACTAACAACAGTAGTTTGATTTTTAAAAATTGACTTATATAAATGTTGTCCACATGTAAGTTGTAAAACTACCTGAAAGCAGAAACTAGTTAATAAACTATATTTCCTGCTGTATTTGAACTGACTACCCTTGTGTTTGACATGAGAAGTTACTATTTTAAGCTTTTAATGTGGTTGAGCATCAGATGTAACATTGTATTAAAAATTCCTTTTGAGGCAATGGGAAAAGAAGCATTTAAATATTGTAGTGTTTTCTTCTGTCCCGAGATAGCTGGGAGTAGAGGAGGGCTTTTTGCCTTGCCTTGATTCGGTTTGCTTCATCTCCACAGGAAAAAAAAAAAGGATGCTTTCTTTCCCTTTCTTCCTCCTGACTTAAAAGCCCTATGACTAATGGAGGAAAAATGCTGGTACCCCTTACAGGACTAAGACTAGCATACGACAAAAATTTCTTAAAACATGAAAAGCATGTGAAGCAACTGTCAGTAAACATGAGAAATGGCAGAAATAATTGTAGGTAATGTAGAACCAACA